CTTCCTCTCCTGCAGGAAAAGTGTGTGTCCCCTCTATTTCCCAGCCTGACACAGAGTGAGCACGTAGCAAATACTTTCCAGAACAATGCACAAACAGAAGGGCTTGGTGACCACAATTCCTGCTCCCGGGGGAAGGTGAGCAAAGAGGGTCTGCTTGGTTTAGGCCTGGCCCCTAGGCTTCTAAGAACTGACTGCCTTCCACGGATGAATCGGCCATAGGAGGACTCCTGGATATCCTGACCCCCAGTTCAGAAAGGGCCCTGAAGCACTGACCACCCTGGTTCCAGTTCAGAGCCCAGAGCAAGCCTCATGCTGAGGGTCCAGCCCCACTGCAGACAGAGCAAAGATCCCCATCAGTGACGTTTTATTATCATAATCATCAGGTACAACAAATGGTACAAAAGGGCCAACGGGCCCCAGTCCCTCTCCGGGCAGGCTCCTGTGAAAAAGCAAGAGAAGAGAGTAAGGAAGAAAAAGGGCAGCCAGGGACTGAGCCTGGCTTGCACGGGCCCATAAGTCAACCACCACCCACAGCCCAACTGCTACTAGCCACTCCTCTGGGGTTGCTGGTTCACCTCTGCTACCCGGACCCTCTCAAGGTATAAGCTCCGTGAGGGCAGAAATGGTGTCTGACTTTTTCTGTATGTTTCCCATGCCTAGCACAGTGCCCGGCAGGTAGTAAGTGCTCAATAAACCGAGTACTAGAGAATGCAAATGGACCTTCTAAGGAGCCGTGATAGCTGTTATTTACAGAGAAGAAAATTCAGGCTTAGCAAGGTTGAGGAGCTTGTTCAAGGTCACATAGCTGGTGAGCTGCAGAGGCAGGATTTGAACCCAACGCACACAAAATACTACCCATGTTCACACACAACACACACACACAAAATGCAGTTTATATTCATTGCGCACGTACACACACACACACACACACACACACACACACACATGAATGAATGTCTAGTCATTGGTTTTTCTGGCTGGCACCCAGAACAGGGATGGGCCCACCTAGGGAAGGGAGATCTCTGTGGTTCCAACTGGCCAGCCCAGATATGCCCAACCTTCACCTCAACACTGCACCCCCTTACCCAGCCTCTAGTCCCTGTCCCTCCAGGAAGCCAAGTCCAACGCAGGGAGTGCACTGCAGTTGACAAAGTCCCGAGGGAACTTGTTGGACTCGAAGATGTTGTTCTTGGACACGACGGCGATGCCTGTGTTGTCACAGATGATGCGGGGCAAGGAGATCTTGGCTAGGGCCTGCTGTTGCTGCGGGCTGAACACGCCCTTGTTCTGCCACCAAAACCTGCACGGGGACACCGCTGGCCACTGTGCCTGAGGCCCTCCTGGGCCGGGAGGGCATCCACTGGCTGGAGATGCTCCCGGATGACAGAGGACCACGGCAGACACCGGCCCCACAGCAAGGGGGAGCTCCAGGCCCTCAGGCAGCCCAGGGGGGTTCAAACAAATAGAGCCCCACTCACAGCTGTCCAGCTGCCTCCCCCGCCCACGCCCCAGCAGCCTCCGGGCACCGCTGATGACAGACCGGGAGCCAGGCCCCCACTCATTCACAATGTAGCCAGGGCTACATCCACGTGGGGAGAAAGGCCCTTGGGGGTGGTTTATAATTTGTCCACCTGGAGTGGGACACCTTTTAAAAATGATCCCAAAGGCGCGATTCAGGCTAGGGTAGAACTGGGTGTGATAGATGTCAGGACCCCAGGAGCAGCCGTGGGAAAGCGAGGATGGGACCTTTCAACAGAAACCGGCGGTGCCGTGGTGGCAGCCCGGGACCCGGAGAAGTGACTACGAGTGGCATTTTCTCTCTTCCCTCCTTTACAACCAGGGGTCCAGGTCCCTCCTTGCTGCACCCCCCAACAGATTCAGGGCACATTAGGGATAACCCTGAGGCTCCCCAGAACGCACTCCTTCTAGCAGGAGGAAGCTGGGGCCCCCGAGGGTCAGGGACAGACCCACCACCACGCGGCGGGCCTGAGCCCCTCGGCCTCCGTCCTCACCGATCGCCATCGCGGAGCTTCCTGAACTGGGTCCCGATGAGGCAGGCGAGCAGCAGGCCCACGCGGCCTTTGCTGTTCAAGGGCTCGGCCACAGCACCCATCCAGATGTCGATGTTGTTGGGCGTGCCGTACAGGGCCATCAGCTTCCTCGCTAGGTCCAGGTTCTTCAGGACCGTGCCCAGCTCGCCCACTGTGCTGGGCTGCGGAAGCCCGCAGAAGCGCCTCCAGGCATTGTACCCTGTATGGGGGGAGGGGAGAGAGGCCCGTGGGTGGGTCCCAGAAAGGCCACCTTCCCAACACAGCGAGGCCACGTACTGAGGTACCTGAGGGAGGGGATGACACAGAGGGGCTGCTACCAGGCTATAAACCCCACAGGGAACCCTCTGGCCTCTCCAGGGGCCTGGGGACAGCTGGGTCTCTCCAGGAGCCTCTCTTTCTCCCCTTGTCCTCCCACCCTACAGTAAATCCTAAATTGCCATAACTCCTACTGGCATCTCCCGGCCCCCTGTGGAGATCTCAGGCCCGTGATGGGCGCAGTGTGTCTAGAAGGATCGGCCACACCAGCTGTCCTATGACACAGGCACGGGCGTGGCGTGAGGCTGATCTGGGCTCCAATTCCAGCTCTGTCATGGACGTGGCTGGAGAACCTGGGCAGATTCTGAATTTCTCCAAGCCTCGGTTTCCTCATCAGTAAAATGGAGGTGATAATAATCTCTTCCCCTCAGAATTCATATAAAATGAAGCAAAGTGAAATGAGATGGAGACAGATTTTCAGACTGTGGGCGGGGGCTGTGGTTATTACGATGATGCTCTAAGTTGGAGGGTTACAGCAACACAAAGGAGGCGGGCGGTGCTAGAAATGGGGCAGGTGGGCCCAGGGAGAGGTAGGGGCCTGACCTCAGACCGCATCCTAAGAGCAACGTTCTGGGGGCTCGGGGGAGCCCTGGGCAGCTGGGGGCACTGGAGAGAGCAGGCCCTGGAGTGGGAGGTGGGGAGGGCCGGGGCCGGGGAGACTCCCACAGCCCCTCACCTGGGAGGCCGTGGTCCCGGCTACGCTGCATGTTTAGAGCGGGCAGGTCCAGCCCGATCCTCATGACCTGCTCAAACAATCGCTCCCGGATCTCATCCACCGCGATTTGGTTCTGGAGATTCAGCTTCGCAGGGGTGGCCATGAGGCCCCGGAGGATGGGGTCAATGCCACCTGGGGCGAGAGAAGCAAAGTTGGGGGAAGGATCTGGCTCAGTATCAGAGCTCAGACCGGAGTCAGGTAGAACCGGGGGGATTGCAGAAGAGGGCGGGGCACATGCGGCTTCTGGTGCCAAGGTGTCCCCAGCGGGCAGGTCCTCACTGAGGCTCTGAGGTCTCGGGGGGTAATGCCGTTCAGACTGGCAAGGCTCAGGTGCTCCCAGCCCCTGGCCTCCTGGGTCACTGAGGATTATTCAATACCACACACAGGAAGGAGCCAGCTCCTTACAAGCCACCTCCACCCCACTCTTTGTTATCAGATGTGCGAGCAGAGTCAGGTGAACTCTGCTTGAAAGTCAGAGGCTGGAAAGTCAGATCAGATCCCCAAAGATGGAAGGAAAGGGGATTTGGTCCACCCTAGCTCCCTGTGACCAAGCCCACCCCCATCCCACCCTCGGCTGCCAGCTAACTCACTCCTGGCCTAGGTCCCGCTCACCTTCCAGCACAACCCTCCAGCTGGCAAAAAAGACCTTGCTGAGTGGAACACGAGGGTTGGGCTGCATAGGCTGGTACTGATGGTTCAGACGGAACATGAAGGGCTGGATGAGGGTGTGGCCATAGCGGAAGGCGTTGGTGAAGACGTTGGCGATGCGCGGGTCCACCGAGTCATTGTAGGAGCGGTACTCGGGCAGGTACTTCCTCATGGCCACCGGC